GGGGGCCCCAGACTGCAAGAGGGCATAGGCCGAGCTGAGGGACCCCCCACGCCCCCCCCCGAGTGCACAAATTTTTGTGCACCGGGCCTCTAGTTATGATATAAAATGCAATAGAAAATACTAGAAACTGTCTTCAACTGTTACTGTCTCCCTCCCTCCAATTCTTTTTAAAAGCTTTAAAAAGCCAGTGATATCACATTAAAAATAACATAATGAAATATGCTCAAGTGTTAGCAGGAACATCATGGGTAATTTCTTTTCTGTACTTCCCAGATTTCTTCAATAAGTATGTTATTGCTTTTATAATAATAACCAAAACAAAGTATTACCACTTCAGCTTTACCTCCAAAGGTCAAAGAGCAGATATCACTGTGCTCAGGTCTTCTTAAAGAATCCGGCCTCCTTCAGCCTTTAGAGTAAGGACAAACCAGTGAGGACTTTCCTTTCTGGCTCTGTTGCAGCCCACAGTGAGTGAGGCCAGGCATCCTGAAGGTCTGGGAACTACTCCTATGACTGCTCAGCTCCAAGGCCCAGGAGGCTAATAGGCCCCCCTCAGTGCTATGGCTCTGGTTCTAGTGCCACTCTCAGTCACTGTTTAGGAAGCTACCCCTCACTGCAACATACACATCCCCTCTCAAAAAAAAAAAAAAAAAAAAAAAAAGACAGGGTTCTTGAAAAAGCTGTCCCACAATCCCAGTAAAACCTCTGCAGATGTGGAAGACCATACCCAGAGGAGATGCGTGTGAGCAAGGGAGAGGGGGTTCTCTCCAGTACCCGACCTCTCTGGTCTTGTCACACCAGCTACACCTAACAGGCTTTCTCTCCTGTGCCAGCTCTCACCAAAGGCACTGCTGCCAGAGGCCTGAGCTGGGCAGAATTCTGAGGCTGCATTCAGACTTAGAAGAAAACTTAAAATTCATTAGTGATATTATCATATCAATATTCTTATTATTAGCTGAGATTTACCACCTGCTTACTCTGTCCAGGCGCTGGACACACTTCACCAACTATGAGCCTGATAACCACCATTATCGCCCAATTACAGAAGGGGTGGAGGTTAAACAACCTGCCGGAGCAGCACATCTGGAGCTGGACAGCACCTCTACAGCAGGTGTCTCTGCTGCTCAAAGCGGTCGATGTGCAGCCAAGGTTGAGAACCACTGCTCTGAAGCTTCCCTGTTTGCTTCCTGCAGACCTCTGGGATCTCCAAACCCCATTCTACCCCCACCACATTGAGCTGCATCTTCCCCACCATCTACTGGCCTGGCCTTAACCATTTAGTAGTAACATCAGACATGCACAGCCTCTCCCCAGTGCTGCTGTCCTCATAGGACAAGTCGTCCCAAAGTCCCTCAGAGCAGGAAAGCCCATGCAGGGAACACACTTGGTAGAGGACTTGACAATCACCTCCACGTCACCAAGACTGAAAAAAAGTACTTGGTAAAGTCTGACCATGTCCAGTTCTATATGCCTGTGGACATGCACACAGCAGGCATTCCCAAAGGGGGAATTAGACTTGCTTCAGATTTCTCCACAACATTCAAAGCCAGCGACACTGGGGACGTGCAGAGGCTCAGAGGCAGAGAAACTTGTCATTCAGGCACACTGCAGGCTTCAGAGAATATGGCACCAATTAGCTCCTCTAGAAAGTTGGCCAATCAATACACACAACTAAAAGATAATGACAAATGCAAGGGCTGGAGCCAGATGGCTGCCCAGAGCACAGTGAGTCCTCTTCCCCATCCACAGAGCTTTTACTTCTTCTGGTCTTACTCTAAGACCTACCTTAAAAGGCCCTTTTGACTCTTAACAATTTTGCAAGCTTCAATTCATTCCAAGCCTTACCCTGTGACAATTCTCACAAGTTCCCATTCTTTGGGCATTAGTCTCAGTTCTATATTCTTATTTCTATCCTTCATGCTTGTACTTAGGTTAATACATCAGTCTCTTGTGAGTCTTTGACAGAGCCACAAACTCTTTAGACAGATTCATTTTCTGCTTTTTTCCATGAGATAACTTATAACAATACTTTTGAATTTCTTTACATTTCACAGGCCATGCAAGGTTATCTATCCTCTTTAATATTTTCAGCCATCATTTCAGAGTTATCCTTCAATTCTTAAAAAATCTGTTTGCTTAAATTTAGAGAAAATGCCCATAACAGAAATACTTTTTAGGGTGCTGCACCATGGCTCCCACCAATTCACCAGGTTCTTGCTTCGCTCTCAACTCAAGTGTACCAATTCACTCCCTGCGGAGGCAATGGTGAAGTGCATGGGCTTTCTCATCAAGCAGGCCTCCATTCCTTCTGGTTTCAGGCTGCACCTCACTCCAGACACTTACATTTACTGAGGCTTAATCTGTCTCTCCTTAAAATAAGTTATTGCTAGAAGAATAGGGAGAATGCAGGTTCCACACAATGCAGCACCCGACACCAAGGAGGAGGTCGGCGAATGCTCGCTGGTCCTGCTTTTGGTCTTTCAATTGTTTTCAAGTACAACGGCAACTCAGCAAATGCTCCTTTTTTGGTAGGATGCAATATCTAAGAATAATCCAGATGGTGGGAGTCCTGCTTCCTCTATCTCAACTTCCCTCCAGGCCAGTTCTGGAATGGCCCAGAAAGCAGGAGGTTCTAGTATACTGCAGTGAAGGACTGGCTTCCTGTCCCTGGAATCCTCCTGCAATACCAATACTCCCTGTCTTCATTCTGCACTTGACTGTCAGAGTCCTCACAAGAGGAGCTAGCCCACACCCACCTTAAATCTGGGCTCTACAAACACATTGAAACCAGGTTTGCAGGACACGTTAGTAGTTGCTAGCTTCCATCACCCCCATCTTGGGGATATCTGCTTCACTTAACACTGCTTGGAGCTCCCTGACTTGAGCGCTGGACTGGCATTTCCAAGTGCAGCACTTTTTGCCAAATCACATTAGCCTGTCTAGGCTTTGGATTTCTGTCTAAAGACAGGAGTAACATTACCCATTTCATAAGCCTGCTCAAAGAACTCAGGGAGGACATTTAGGCAGAGCCCCACGCACTGTGCACTGCTGTTGCTGAGGACCAGGTAGTGTCTGTCAGATAATACCATTAACCCAGAGTGCAAAAGTACCTATCACCTGCATCCTTGGAGTAGGCACTCCAAGCCATAAAAGTTGTGCCAGGACGTATTCTGCTGTGAACCTATTTTTATCCTTTTATGTGTTATTGAACCAACAGCCCTTTGAAAAGATTTACTCTAGAAACTCAGAAACACAATTTCAGAGATTCCTAGTGGTGTTGCTGGGTAGCACAGCTTTTACTGTTGTCTGAGTTTCAATTTATTTAGGCAACAGTTACTGAATAAAACACTGTTTTGA